GTAATAAAATAAGAACAAATAAAGAAATTAATAATGATAGCACAAATAAAAAATAACGACAGGCCTTCGAATTAAATAAATTGCTTTTTAGTTTTTCAGGTAGGTCTAACAGTAGGGTTCAGATGTAATTTTTTTTTTTTCTTTTTAACCAATTAACCAATTATCCAAATAATCTTTAGTCCTAGAAAGCTATTATTATCAGAACACGGCAAATTTAAAAATATTAAAAAATGATTTTTTACGCGGCACCCCGGCTGGGAAACACTGGTCTAAGGGGCCGTTCATACAGAATGTGTTTTTGTGCTGAAAAATGCGAGACAGAAGGCACTGGAATGAAAAAAATGCAAGGTCTAGAGATGCATTTTTTATAAGTTGAACTAGAGTGATGGATTTTTAGAACAACGCGAGACTCTTCAAATGATGCAAGACATGAGCACAATGGTCTAAGGGACCGTTCACAGAATGCATAAATAAAAAATGGTGGTCCATCTTGCAAATGTTTACATAGAAAAACACTGGCAGCGCAGTGGAATGCAAAAACGTGTTCTGTGTGAACGGCCCCAGACATAGAACATATCTAGCGCATAGAAAAACAATGGAAAAGCAACACACTGGAGCGCACAAACACGTGTTGTATGAACAGCCCCTTAAAATGTTACAGCTAGAAGCTTTGACGAGGCACCTGATCAGAAATTGAACAGCGTGTGCCTCAAATCAAAGACTTTAGACATACCAAGACAACGCACTGAAATTGCTATAAATGGGAGAAAGTGCAGTGTGAATTATGACAGAATAAAGGGTAAGTTCACCCCAAAATGAAAATTCTGTCATTAATTACTCACCCTCATGTCATTCCAAACCCGTAAGACCTTCGTTCATCTTCAGAACACAAATTAAGATATTTTTGATGAAATGTGAGAGCTCTCAGACCCTGCATAGACAGCAACGCAACTGTAATGTTCCCAGGTCCAGAAACGTAGTAAGGACATCAGTAAAACAGTCCATGTGACATCAGTGGCTCAACTTCAGTTTCGCGAAGCTACGAGAATACTTTTTGAGCGCAAAGAAAACAAACAAAAAAACAATTTATTTAACAATTCTTCTCCCCCGAGTTACGTCTTCCACCATTTTGGAGAGTACCCAAGAGTGTAACTACGTAATCAGCGTTGTTTATGTTAGGGGGAGAAAGCGCGCGCATGAACGTAATCTGCATAATCAGCGTTGTTTATGCTTAGGGGAAAGCGTGCGTATGCATTGTGATACTCTCTAAAATGGCCGAAGACGTAACTCGGGGAAGAAGAATTGTTGAAAAAAATTGTCTTTGTTTTCTTTGCGCTCAAAAAGTATTCTCGTAGCTTCGCAAAACTGAAGTTGAGCCACTGATGTCACATGGACTGTTTTACCGATGTCCTTACTACGTTTCTGGACCTGGGAACATTACAGTTGCGTTGCTGTCTATGCAGGGTCTGAGAGCTCTCACATTTCATCAAAAATATCTTAATTTGTGTTCTGAAGTTGAACGAAGGTCTTACGGGTTTGGAACAACATGAGGGTGAGTAATTAATAACAGAATTTTCATTTTGGGGTGACCTATCCCTATAAGTCCCGCCTTCTAAATAAAAGAGCCAGTGGTCAGGTGGTAAGTCATTACGTCACTGCAGCTGCTGTTAGGAACTCCGTTGCCAGGGCCGTACTTTGGGCGGTGCAACTGGTGCGGTCGCACCGGGCCCCGCACTTTGAAGAAGCAAATGGTCCGAGGGGACGCCACATAGTGTAATGCCAAAATCATGCTTCTCTTGATTTTTTGGAATTACTTTTATAACTTTAATAAATTATTGAATGCCTTCCATTTAAGATTTTGGCGTTCTTTGACTGTGACTGTTAAGAGTTTACTTCCGGTTGCTGCTGCAACTACTTTAATAAGAGTTAAGAAAATTATAAATATCCACTATTAATTGTTATCCCGTGCATATAAGATTCCATTAACCTGGGGTTTAGAACAGTGCTATTATGAGGAGAGTATTTTGGTATTTTTTTTATCATCTGTTCTTCTCTTTTGTGACACATAGCCAAGTAAAATGGACGAGAAAAAAAATACAGGATGGGACTTGGTTTTGTCCATTGGGAATTTTAGATTGGATCATTGTTGTTTGCTAATTGAGTGACAGTTTTCTAAAGGGGAGGGATAATTGTCACTTCACACCAGCTCACACGTCATCAGGAGAATCAAGATTTAGTCCACAGTTAAAAGTTATAGGTTTGATAGTTTTCTGTTTACTTTTACTAAGTATATGTTTGAACATATCCATGATATAATCCATTTTGACCCTTTTTAACTAATGTAAAATATATTTTTGCACATTGAAGAAGCAGTGAAGAGCAAAGACAATTAGGAGAAAGACAGGTTGAAACAGTGTTGTGAGGAAATGAGACAATTCCACCATCTTCTGGCTGCAATGAGGCGTTGCAAATAAACATGCTGATCCACTCAGCATATTCGTTTTGAAGGAGAGTATATAATGTCCTGTTTATTAGACAATTTAATAACACTTTAGATTAGGGAACACCATTATCCACTGAGAGAGTCTCTTGTTAGGATTACTTTATCTCAGATTATTTTCTAAAGACAACTAGCAAATATCAGGGCAATTATATTGTTCTGATCATTTATTTTACAACAATATACATCAACAGCATGCAAATGTCATGTAAGATGCATTACCCAGGATATTCTTATCTGTTAAATATAAAAGTACTGCATACTCGGCACTAAAAATCTAGTCATGACCATGTGAGATGGATGAATTTTTCATATATTGACATGCACTACTAGTGATAATAATGACTTGGTTTCCTTTTTGCAGAAAGTTGGACAAGCCTTGGACAATTAGTCAATACTTAGTTCATAAAATTATTTCAGAAGCTCAAATAGCCTACTGACTAGTTCATTAATAACAACTAATGAAGCACTTCCCAGATCTGGATGTAAAAATTGGAGTCATCATATAATCAACATGATCTAAAAGCCACAAAACGATCATGTCAAGTCTTCAACAAAGTGAACAAACATACAAATTAAAGGTATAGTTCACCCAAAAATGAAAACTGTCATCATTTACGCAACCTCAAGCTGTTGATTCAAACCAGTATTAGTTTTTCTTAGGTTGAACATAAAATATATTTTGAAGACAAACAATTGCTGGTAGACATTCACTTCCAATTGGAAAAATAATAATACTATTGAAGTCAATGGCTACCAGCAACATTCTTCAAAATATCTTGTGTTCAACAGAAGAAATAAATTCATACAGGTTTGGAACAACAAGAGGGTGTACAATGACCGTTTGCATTTTTGGGTCATCTCTCCCTTTAAATCAACAGCCATTAGGGATAAAGTCATTTTCAACAGTACAAATTCAAACATGGCTCCTTACATATGTTGCCAGTGCAGATGTCAAATTTAAATTTAAATAAGTGCAGTTTCTTGCTTATGTGCATAAACCCACTTTGGTATTAAAGGGATAGTTCACCCAAAAATGAAAATTCTGTCATTAATTACTCACCCTCATGTCGTTCCAAACCCGTAAGACCTTCGTTCATCTTCGGAACACAAAGGAAGATATTTTTTTATTAAATGTGAGAGCTCTCAGACCCTGCATAGACAGCAACGCAACTGTAATGTTCCCAGGTCCAGAACCGTAGTAAGGACATCGGTAAAACAGTCCATGTGACATCAGTGGCTCAAACTTCGTTTTGCGAAGCTACGAGAATACTTTGAGCGCAAAGAAAACAAAAATAACAATTTATTCAACAATTCTTCTCCCCCGAGTTACGTCTTCCGCCGTTTTAGAGTACCACACATACGCACAATCCCCCCCCAAGCGTAAACAATGCTGATTATGCAGATTACGTTCATGCGAGCGTTTTCTTTACGCTCTTAGGTACGCTCCAAAATGGCGGAAGACGTAACTCGTGGGAGAAGAATTGTTAAATAAATTGTTTTTTGTTTTCTTTGCGCTCAAAGTATTCTCGTAGCTTCGCAAAACTGAAGTTGAGCCACTGATGTCACATGGAATGTTTTACTGATGTCCTTACGTTTCTGACCTGGGAACATTACAGTTGCGTTGCTGTCTATGCAGGGTCTGAGAGCTCTCACATTTCATCAAAAATATCGTAATTCGTGTTCCGAAGATGAACAAAGGTCTTATGGGTTTGGAACAACATGAGGGTCAGTAATTAATGACAGAATTTTCATTTTGGGGTGAACTAACCCTTTAAGAGACGAGTTCAAAATAGAGATCAGAATGAGAGCATGCAGATTTTGTAATCAATACTTTGGATGCCACAGTACACGCTTTTCAGTCATTCATGGAATTCATTAGAAATGTATTCAATGAATTGAATGTTGATGTTCAATGTACAATTGAATGTATTCAATTCACAAAAACTGAATATCATAAAAGTAGTCCATAAAACCAGTCAATCAATTCTCATTGAAAATTTATTACAAGCTTTGAACAAGAGAACATATAAAATATTTACAAGACAAGACAACACAACACAACATGTATAAAAAGCAACAATGAAATGTGCGATGTAACGTTATAAAAAGAAACAAACTAAGAAACCTGGTCACACATGTGAGGCTAGTTTGTCATTGATACCTTAAAAAAAAAACGGCCAACATAAAACAGGCCTTCTGCAAGTACAAACATTTCCTTAAGGTTTATATTCTTTTTTTTTTTTAAGTAAAAAAACCCTCTAACAACTCTGTGACCTTTAAGTATCATACATACAGGCTACTTCAGGACTTTAATAGTCATCAGAATCTGAATCAAGAGTGTAGGTCACAGGTTTGGCGGTACGTGCAGCTCGGCTCCTGGGAGCTGCAGACGTCACGACCTTCTCTTCCAGCTGAAAGCTGTCGTCATCTTCCCAGCTCTTTGCTTTCTGGAACGGAAAATTAAATCAGGATTAAACTCACAAGCTTTTCAATAAAGCTACTATAGCAATGTCTACTATAAAACTATGTATATTTGCTGTAGCTTCTTTGTACTAGGAATGCCATGGATTAAAAAAAAATTGTGACAAAAGAATACCAATTTTGCACATTTCACAAAAAAACTGTCAAAGATGCTTAGGATCTGTAGCACTTGCTTTAAGCTTTAACATTATATCATTCCTTTTCTTTGAATAAAATGGATGTTTAATAATGGCAGATTATTATTCTTACAAAAATAAAATCGTAAAATGACAAACTTGCTTATACAAAACTTTTAACCAAAATAGACTGGTGACATACAGAGCCACACATGACATGCAAAAAAAAATTAAAAAAAAGTACATTTATCGTGGCCACAAATTAAGAATTCATTCCTACAACTTTTGTTCCCTCGTTTTATTCAATCAAGACCACTTTGTTCTAATTCTCTCTCATTTTGATTAAAATTAAAATGAGGGAGTTAATTACTACAATGTGGCCACAATTCAATAAAACTATCCTTCATTACAGATTTTTTTTTCTTGTACTGAACAATTATTTGTACAGCAGTTTAATATTGAATGCTACATGCAACTGTATTAATTTGCAAGTATGTTTATCAATATTTGAACGTTTGATAAAGGATAAAACACATAAAAATACTGATTATCAAATACTGATATCAATAAAACACAAATTGTGATCCACAGTAAAGTGTCAAATTACCTTTCCAGCAGTGCTTTTGCCCTTGAGGCGAGCCATCAGATTGCCACTGTCAGAGTCTGAGCCGTCTGATTGGTCACTGCTCAGAGCGGGCTTCCTCTTCTTGGCTGGTTTCTTCTCAACCACAAAAGGGGCTGCGCCATCCGAGTCAGAAGACTGTATGACAGCAGCAGGCTTCTTGGTGGCTTTGGTTTTTTTAGGACTTGTTTTAGAGAGCACATCAAGGATTGAGGGCTGTTTTGCATCTAGAAAGTTAAAATCATTCATAAATTATTTAATAAGAAGCTGCTATACTGACATGCAATACAAGAATTTACACTCTTATAAAGGTCCTTCTGGCATTTATAGCTCCATGAAGCACCTTTAACATCAGTGAAACCTTTTTCCATTGCACAATTTTTATTGTGGAAATTAGGGATAAAAAAAAAAAGAAAAAAAAGTTCCTCACCAAGAAAAAGTTTTTTTTTTTTTTTTTTTTTTTTTAAAGAACTATTCACTGTAAGGCTTTGCTTCTTCTATGGCATCACTGCCCTTTTGGAAACTTTTAAGAGCATAACTGCAATGAAATTCCACCATTCTCTGAAAAAGTAACAACATTCAAACACCTGTTGCTTTCTTCTTAGAAGCAGCACTTGTCTTCTTTGCGGCCGGTTTCTTGGTGGCTCCTACAGCTGATTTTTTCACAGGTTTAGGGGCCGCCTCTTGGCTGGTCTCAGCTAGTTTAACAAGCACAGTGAACAAGTAAACCAGCTGACAAGCAATCATGTTACAGACAAAGCTAAAGAAATGATCTGTGATGGGCAGACAGTTGTGTGGTACTTACAGCCAGACTTGCTACTGGCTTCGGGTTTCTCTACTTTTGGTTTGCTGGCTTTTGCTGGTGCTTTTTTCCTGAAAGAATCAAAGAAAACAATATTATAGAAAAATATAGATAGAATTTTTAGAATAATTTTGGAAAAATACTATAGAGAGTCATAATAGAGAACAATCGAAATCTGTGCAGCAGAAGTAGAAGTGGTGTCAGTCTTACACAACAGGTGCGGGAGGAGGGGAGTCAATGTCACTATCAGGTGCACCGCTGGGTTCTGGGATGAAAGACTCATCATCCTCAATGACAGCGCGCTTCTGTTTAGAGCTCTTCGCCCAGTCATCAAACTCGTCTTCACTGCTTGACAGACTGTACTTCTTTTCCACCGCAGCTGCAAAGACACAAAATTATTCAAGTTATACAGTTATAACAATTATACAGTTTTGTTTGTTTTCCTATTTACTTTCAGGGATCCCACACTTTTGTCAAATGGATTTCCATGATCTTCAGTCTCAACTTGATGTAGTTGCTGATATTTATATGGCCAAAAATTGATAAAATTGTAAGAGCTTGTACCGTAAATCAGTGAGATCTTTATAACAATACAGCAGACCTCCATAAAATGCATATCAGATCACACTCTCTCTCCCAATAGTCTTAGAGTCTTTGCACACAGTCTGAAATTTTCACACGTTAAAAAAATAAACGACCCCACGTTGTGTCAATCACGTTTACACACTGTCTTTGAAACTTTTGTCTGTCATAAAATTCGGATCAGATTTTCTGAGTTTTCGCATCCGTAGCAAGCATTTTGATAGGAAAGTTTGACAAATATGAAAAAAAAAAAAAAAAAGCTTGTGAAAATTTTTGGCCCTTTAGTACGAAAAAAAAAAAAAAAAGGCAGCTAACCAGTTTTAGACTTCATCTTGTTCCATCACTTCATGAACTAAAGGAGTAACGTGCATGAAGATTTTCACCTTTGCGCTCTTTCTTTTCTCTTGGAGCCACTTCCTCAGGGATGAGCTCCATGTCAGATTCAGACTCTCCCTCCTCAGAAGACCAGGGGTTCTTCTGGACCGGTTTAAAGGAGAGGGTGGTCTGCTTGCCTGACTTTGTGCCTGACACAAAGACAAGATGAAACCTTAAGATCAGAATTTGATGACACTGATGCATCTGATAAGTCCTATCAAAATTGCACGTTACAGAACTACAAAGGACTCTGAAATGGTTAACCAACAGCTGATTCTTCTGTAAATTCAAATTTCCCCATTTAAGAACTACACTGTCACACAAAATGGGGGCATTTGAAATTCTGTATCAACTGTGTGATGGTACATTTGTGTGCGCTACAGACTGAGGGCCATGTTCTTCCCAATGGTCTCATGGCAATTTATAACCAGTTTTCATTTTGATGAGATTGTGGAAAATTCATAAGAATTTGTATGATTGACTTGCACCCCACTGAGGTTTAGGTTTAGGGGTGTAACTTTAAAATCATACGAAATCCTGTAATATAGTCACCTCATTTAATAGTTATATTAATAAAAATGTTTTACTAATTTCGACTACATGAAAAGTCGAAATTCTGTGCAGTCCACAGAAATCCAACTTCCTCTATTTTCATATAGTACATGTCTGTCTTACTTTTGTGTTTGGCTGGCTCTTTCTTGACCTTCTTAGTGAGTCTTGCAGTCAGTCCCATCTCAGAGCTGTCGGCTGCTGCGTCTGCATCATCAAACTCCATCTTCATCACCACACCAGCTTCTTTCTAAAAATACACACAAGTATTCCTTCAGGATCAGCTAAACTTATAAAATGTCTGGCTATGAAAACTGATTGAATTCGCTGCTGTAAAACAAAAATAAATCTGAATAAACAGTAATCCGAAGTGCAGTACAGTGACCATTCAGAGATTTGCATACATACCGTTTATGCACGCATGCAAATCTCATTCTGCACACACATACCTTCACAGCTTTGCCTCGTTTGGCTCCCTCCTTCTTAACGGCTTGGACCTTCATGGTGCTGGTGATGCGGGGGATGACGCGGCGGCCCTGTGGAGTGGGCATGGTCTCATTCTTTACCTTCACCACCTTTGATTTTCCCACTTTACCTTTCACCACAGGAATTGCATTTTGTGACTCCATCTCCTTCTGTTCCACACGCTATATGCAACACAAATAATCATTGATGACTTCACAAATCACTTATTACACTGAAATGTTAGTTTTGAAAGCATAATTTTCATTAAAATGACTAAAACGTATTTCTTCATATAAAGCAACTGCAGTACAAGATGTTTGGTATACAGGTGCATCTCAATAAATTAGAATGTTGTGGAAAAGTTCATTTATTTCAGTAATTCAACTCAAATTGTGAAACTAGTGTATTAAATGAACTCAATGCACACAGACTGAAGTAGTTTAAGTCTTTGGTTCTTTTAATTAGATCGGCATCTTGTTTACCTCCAGCTCCTCGGTAAAGGCTGCCAGATCCTCTTTCCACAGATCAGCAGGTGCTTTCATCTTGAGCGTGTTCAACTCCGTTGTCTGCAGAACAGAAGCATGAGAACCTTTCTAAACTCCACTGCTACACTAAATCCCCCAGCTGTGCTTCCATCCATCATAAACTTATAGTCACCTTAGCATCTCTCTGTCTGCACAGCTCATCTTTCTTTTCTTTGGTCAGGTACCACATTGGCATGCTGAGTAGATAGTTATAATCAGGGCCAGATGTCTCCTCTTTTTCCTTCTCCTCCTCATCCTCATCCTCCTCTGCATCCTGCCAAACACAAAATGAAAATGATACTGATGCAGGTAACAGGTCAAAGGAAGAAACCAAAGGAATTTAATTTAATAAATGAGGTAGTTGTAGAGCGCACCTTCTCCTGAGCATCTTTCCATGCCTTAACAGGGTCCGAGTCATAGCCCATCTGCTGAAGCATGCGGATCAGCTCCTTCTTAGGTTTATTTTCTAAAAATAATAAAGATAAGAAGCTTGATATCAAACACTTAAAGACAGTTACCTTGGAATCTGTATTTACTTTTAACACCTAGGGATACACTATATATAGTACCATATAGCGTTTCCCACCTAGACTGTGGTGACCAGCCAGTGTTTCAAAATTAACCAAAAAAATACATTTAGATCTGTCATAAAACATCAAATAAACTAAAATGATCAAATTGTAAGAGGTTGCAATTAAATAAAGTATATAGACTGTTGCATTGCATGGTTCAAAGCATTTAATTAAACATTGCATGTTTTCCAAGTCTCAGAGCAGTTTGGTTTACAAACGCAGGAGAAAAAAAAAAAACTCTAGGGTTGAGCCCTTGAAATTAGGATTGTAATTAAACTACTATAAAATAAATTTTAATTTTTGTTTAATCATTTAGCAGATGCTTTTACAGGATTTCTACAGATATGAATGTGTTAAATGTAAGACCTTTTTAATACCACATTATATCAAATTTAAGACCTAAACCTGTGATGGAAATACACATTACATAAATATCATCACTGTCATAAATGCTATTTATTAATACAATATACAGTGAACTTTTCACTGTATGAGCAAACAATATTCCATACAAAATATCCCCACAAAAGCACCACATCACTGAGATTTTTGGTGGTGTAAACCATTTATTCTGAAGCATCACAGGGCTCTACAGTGCGACCATTTCAGTCGCATTTGCGACTGAAAACTACTGCATGCGACTATGAAAACATATTTAGGAGCACCAGTGCGACTGACCCGATCATCATCATACTTGTGATTGCGCTCAGGGGAGCTTCAAATGTTTCTACGTGTTTTTGCAGCGTTGACAGCGGTGTTTCGAATGAACGTTTTTTTTTTAAACGAATCTAGTGAATCAGTGATTCATGATTACCCGTTCATAAATACTGTCACTTGATTCATTCCTGAATGAATCAGCCGTTTGAATGAATCAATTGAATGAATGATTCAGTAATAAAAATCAGTGACTTACCGCCACCTGCTGGCAGTTTGTTTCATTTTTAAAGTATCTTTTCAGTTATTTAAATAATTTAATATTTCTATATTCAAAATTGTATATTTAAAACATTAATATCATCATGAATTTATGGATTTAATTGCACTCATTCCACTTCTGAGCCTCATTAAATGTCTGAAAGTACACCAAGCCACCTTTGTGTTCTTCTGTGCCACCTCTACAAATTAATTTTGTTAATACTGATTTAATTTGATTGGTAACTTATATTTCTTATTCTACTTGTCCTTATTCTGTCGTTTTAATTACAATTTTTAAAAAGCTTATAAAATATAATTTTTTAAAGAATTTGACAGATGATGACATACTTTTAATAAAGTTAGAGGAGTCAAATATCACCTCGAAATGGGAAGGCTACTTTTTGATAAAATTTTGGATAATTGTTTAGAAGGTGCTCCTAAAATTTTGAACGTGCTCCTAAATTTTTTAAGTTAGGAGCACAAGTGCTCCTAAAAAGAAAAGTAAGCGTAGAGCCCTGCATCAGCTTTTACATAAGTCAGCATATTTTTATATTTACCCCAGGACGCTACTTACCTTTATTAAGGCCTTTTTTTTTTTTTTACCTTTTTAAATGCATGCATCATATTTCATTTCAAATTCTTACAATTGACCAATAAATCCAATATAGGGCTGTCATTAGTCAAATTAAATAGTTTACACTGCAAATTACAACTGCAATAAATAATGTTACGAGATTAATGTTTAAAATACATTTGAGTATACAAATAAGAAATGTTGGGGGGAAATGTATACTTTTAATCAAACTTAACCATCAGCTGGCGATAAGTCACTTAATGAGTGACATTGAGTCATTCATTCAACTGATTCGTTAAACACTGAATCATTCAGTAACAAAACACCGCCGAGTGTTGCTTGGAGAATATGAAATACTTCTGCTGTGATCCTTGTTCAGAACTATTTTCATTGTCGAAATAGAACAAAACGGTAAATATTGTGTCTTAAAGTAACTTAGGCTGATGATACAAGGAGCAACTTTTCAACGGGCAACCAGGTGAGACACAGGGCCCATGACCAGTCTAAAGTATCCTGATAGAAATTTGTTACCCATTCTCAGTGGGAAAGTGCCCAAGAAACATTGGTCAAAAAAAGTTGCCCGGCAAAATTGCTCAAACAGTTGCCCAGTGTATCATCAGACTTAGTAACTATTTGACTACTTAAAGGGTTAGTTCACCCAAAAATTACCCATAAATTACTCACCCTCAAGGCATCCTAGGTGTATATGACTTTCTTCTTTCAGACGAATCCAGTCGGAGTTATATTAAAAATTGTCTTTGATCTTTCAAGCCGTTTAATGGCACTCAGCGGGTGTTGCAGTGCTTCAGTCCAAAAGAAGTTAAATAAAAAGCACCCATCCATTTAAAAAAAATAAATACATAAAAAATAAAAAAAGTCTCACACGGCTCCAGGGGGTGAACAGCGTCACTTCTGAGCGGCGCATGTGCAAAGCCGATGTCCTACGTCATCTGCCCGGAACTGCTTCCGTGTACAACAGTGAGCGCAAGCTAGATTAAATTGATTATTAGTCAGCTGGCCAATCAGAGCGGACTGCGCTTGTCAAAGGAGGGGGCTTTGTAGAAAACGAAGCGTTTGAGAGAGGCGGGGCATATAGGACCTACAATAATGTACAGTATATGAAAAATAATGTGTTTTTTGAACATTAAAGCATGTCAACATATTCTGTTACACCAAATACACAAAATAATGATCTTTAAAAAAGCATCATATGACCCCTTTAAGGACAACTATCTAACATCCTCATCTGGAAGAGAGAGAGAGAACAAACGTGTCTCATTGCGGAGATCTCTGGCTATGTGATTACTGCTAAGAAAGATCAGGACGGATTCTCTGTGAAACTAGACAGCCTCTTATCAGCACTGAATAGAGTACTGCATACACTGTGAATCACTTGTGTGATTTGGTGTGTTCAAGTCCTCCTGGGAAGTTTGTATTTATTTATTTTTTTTAGATGTATATCTCATCTGAAAGCTGACCAAATAAGCTTTCCATTGATGTATGGTTTGTTAGGAAAGGACAATATTTGGCCGAGATACAACTATTTGAAAAAAATAATCAAAATATTGAGAAAATTAATTATAAAGGGGTCATATGATGCAAATAATGATCTTTAAAAAAAGCATCATATGACCCCTTTAACTATATCATGTTATGAATAAACTACACATTTAGAATTTTTACCTCAGTGCGTTTATTTTTATTTGTGCTGTTACGCTCTAATTTTGTTTAGAAATCAATCACAAAGAGACCGGCAGCCTGAGCATGACCTTGAGACCAGAAATACAGTATCCATTATCAATCGTTGTTTATGTTGAACGTAATAAAAAATAACCAGTGAAGCATTGAAACACGAGAATGATTCCTCTGATTTTGTAACTTAGGTTTTATTCAGTCTATATGTCCCATCGGGCAAGTAAAAAACCCATTTTATACAAACTAGAAGGCTGGTCAGCTAGCTGTAGCTCGACCTGTATTTTTTTATAATTTTTTTTTTTACTGCAATTCAAATTAGCCCATGTTTCACTCACCTTCAAAGCATCCTAGGTGTATATGAATTTTTTCTTTCAGATGAATCCAATCGGAATTATATTAAAATTGTCCTTGCTCTTCCAAAGCTTTATAATGGCAAACTCGCGAGACCAGCTTATCTCACAGGCGCGGGCGCTGTGCATACATCTACGTCATCTGCCCGGAATGGCTTGCATGTATGGCAGTTAGCAGTAGTGTGAGAAAAGTGTTTATAACGTTTTAAATATGGATATTTTTCTTACAAAAACGCAACGATTAGCTAGAGGAGGCCTTTATTCACCCCCCCCCGGGTCGTGTGAGGCACGTTTAATTATGGATGGATGTGCTTTATTTGACTTACTTTGGACGGTTTAAAAAAAAAAACACCCACCCAATGACATTATACAGCTTGGAAGAGCAAGGACAATTTTTAAAATAACTCTGATTGGATTCGTCTGAAAGAAGAAAGCCATATACACCTAGGATGCCTTGAGGGTGAGTAAAACAATTTTTCCTTTTTGGGTGAACTAACCCTTAAAGGTCACATATTTTACACTTTTCTGGAGTTTTAGTTTAGGTTTTGATGTCCTTAAGAATATATATTTGCGGTATAAGTACCAAAAACCATCTCAATATATTTTTACAGCTCCTCTCTCAGGAGCTCTGCTGAGAACAGGTCGATTTTGGCCCGTCTAATTAATATTCATGAGCCTCTCTTCTGATTGGCCTGTTGTTTTCTGAGTGACGCACGGCCAGGCCAACCACAGCTAACTAGGGTCAGCCGACGTCACAGCACTAGCTGGAGGAAGCAAAATACTACTAAAATTATTAAAACCTTATTTTTAAGGAATAAGCATACAATATTTCTTCAACGTTTTAATTGTAATATTAAATGACCTTTATTTTCCAAAAAATAAAATGTTTAATTTTCATTACTTAAAAGATAGATTAAACAAATGTTTTATGCCTTAAAAAAAAAAAAAAGTACATACACAACACAGAATTTCTGAGCAAAAAAAATCATAAGGCTAATGTAAGAATAAATGAAACTTGTTTTATGCTTTCAAATAATTAGACATGCTAAAACAGAATTGTTACAATAAAACATAAGTTTGGAAAAATAAAACATTTCATAGGGCCCTAAACATGTAATATTTGTTAAACTTTTAATAAATTGATGTTGAATTGTTTAAGTTTCATGATTTTAATTAATTCGACATGCTTTGATTAATAAAATGTAATTTAACCATTAAAAAGGAGTCCAGAAAAAAAAAAAAACGGATCAAAAGCAATCAAACCAATAAAAGAGCAGCAATATGCAAGTGCTGTCACAAGTTGCAGTTAGACTAACAGTTTTTTTGTTTTGTTTGTTTTTTAATAAAAATGAAAACCATTAGATAGAAAAGAAACAATAGAGAGTGCTTGTTTTAGAGGGTCAATTATTGATGCAAGAGATGTGTCTTTATCAGTTTCTTGAAAATGGCTAAAGACTCAGATGCTCGTATAGAGTTGGGCAGCAGGGAATAGTTAAGGTAAAAGTCTGTGAATGTGATTGTGTGCCTCTTTGGGATGGCACTATAATGAGCTTCTGGAGGGCTCACAAGTCTGAAGTAAGTGTAAATGTAATGTGATGTGGACTTAGACATTATCACAGCTAAAACCCGAAGTCTAAAACTATGTGGGAAACATGGATATTAATTCTGAGGTAATACTGCACATGTAATAAGACTAATTTTTCCAGTTTTTACATTGTGATCTTAAAATGAATATCCACTTTCCCCACATGCATTCCAAGGTTGTCATTGTTATCATCAGTTTCTGTATTGGCCAAATAACACCCATAAAATAAGATCGTCATTAAATAATTTAGTAGCTCAATCCAATGTGTTGATAGCAGATAAAGGTTAAAAAATGCACTTGTAATGTATTGAGGTCAGTGTGTGGCACAAGGCAAAATTAGACTTCATGCCAAAACACTACCAACTGTCACATCCATTATATTGGTACTACACAGTACCAGTCTAGTGTAGTGTGAATGCTCTTTCCTTTTAATATGTGCTGCTTCTGCATGTAGTGTGAAACCAAACACAAAGAGAGAAAAAGCATGTCTCACCAATGACCAGTGTGCCCTGGATCTTCTCCAGAATGAATCGGGCCTGGTTGGAAAGTTTGGCACTTTCAGCCCCCAGCATACCTAGCAGCCAATCTTTCCTGAGGACATAATACTTCATTCTGAGCTCAAAGAAATCCTTTAAGATGTCCTGAACAGACTCGTACTTCTTCAGACTGCCCACATGATCAAACAACACCTGCATGAGAATGAGAATGATATAGACAAATGGAAGACAACAAATGTTTTCAGGATTGGGCAAAAAAAATTTATGCATTTTTTTAAAGGATGCATATTGTGATATAAAGTATATGGTGTGTGCTGTTCACCATGGAGTGACAGGTGAGCAGATTCTGTAGTTTGAAGACTTTGTGTGGTCCAGCTGCCTCAGCCTCTCTCAGGCGCTCCTCTGTCATCTTAATGACGAAACGCACTGTGGTGTCTGTATGATACTCCTTATAGTCTGTGATCAAAGCAGGAACCTTCTCCGTGCCGTTCAGCATCGCCTCCAAAACATTCTCCTTATAGGTCTGAGAGATGTCATGTTATTCATCATGTATTCCAAAGAAAATGTTTGTTATTTTTCTCTGCTGAACTGACTGGCATAATTTTTTGCTCAATATTCTGTATAACCCAGCTTTACACCAAACTTCACAGGTTAAACACACTGCTAATTTTATATACAGCATGAAACAAATTTGCAGTGAAGGAAACATTGGTATAAACATTTTAAACCCTAGCAGATATTGCTGAAAGTCAAAGGATTTAGTTGCACTAATTTTACCAGTTTATCATGTCAACTGAATATTTACAACCACTACTTGCCACATACCAAATGGGCATGGGAAAAAAAAAA